TGTCCTCTCCCTCTGAATCTCCGGTGCCTGCGCGGTGCTGGGCACCTCAGCTGGCCCCAAACCGTCCCTTCCAGAGCCGGGATTCAGGAGCAGGGAAAACCCCCTCCTGCCCCTTCCCAGAACACAGGGTCTCCGGCTTCCCAGGGGATCAGCCCGCCTGCGAGCGTCCCCCCCTCGGCTCTGAAGCAGGGACAGCCCGGAGCTTCCGAGTGCTGCCTCTGTGATGTGGCTGCTCTCCCCTCCCCACTTAAATTTAGACGGCGGCCTAATTCCGGTGGGCATGCCCGCAGGAGCGCTTCCATACTGTGCCGCAGACACTCCCCGCTCCTGGTGGCCCAGCCCATCGTGGCCAGCCTTCCCTTTTCAGGGTTCTCCTCCACCCAAGTCGCTTATTCATTCTCCCTGCATCGCAGAACTAATGCTAGTCCTTCCAAGGAAAAAGCCTGTAATTAACAGAGGCTTTTGGGGAAGAACGTTCTGCCTGCTTCTCTCCTGCCCAGTTTTTCATTTAGCATATTTTATCAGAATGAAATGCCTTAATGAGCACACAACTGCAGCTGATCCCAGCTGAACCTCAAAGTGCTCCTCGCCTGGCTTCCCGGCCCCATCAAGCTGTATTCACGTTTGCTGGGACTCGGGCTTCTTTCTGGAGCAACTTCCCCCAAAACAGGGACAGGAAACTCATCAACGTCCTGCAGACAGGGACGGGGGCAGGAAGCCTCCCCAAGCCCCTGCCTGGGCTAGGTAAGAGCTGAATGGGGGGAAGGGAGGGAGCGAGAGGAGGAGGGAGGCAGGAAGTGAGCACATGAGAGTGTGGGTGTCATACACGTGTGCTATCACGTGGGATGGCACGGGTGCACACGTGTGTGTGTGCTTCTGCCCCGAGTTCTGACATGATCACTGGGCGTGCACTTGGAAAAGACAAATCTCTTACAGAAACTGTAAGGAGATTCTGTTTTCCATCTGCTGAGGATGCATCTCCCCATAAGATCCCAGCTCGGCTTGGGATTCCGTTCCACGGAAAGTACTCCACCATCAGTCAAGAAACTCTGAAGGCCCACCAGGAGGGGCCGAGATCTCTGCCGGGACCCTGGTGCCCCGGCCTTCACGGTGTGTGAGCCGCTGGGTGCCCAGACAGCGCCCCCCACTGGGCTTTGCTTCCATCACTCATTCAATGAATGTAGTGCCTGCTGTTTACAACACTAGAGGCGCGGGAGGCCTGTGCTCAGATGCGTAAGTAGCAATCATGAAGTCACGTGGTACTAAGTGCTGTGGAGAAAGCAAGGGGGGCCGTGGGGCGAAGACCAGGCTTGGAGGGTCAGGTCTGACCTCTCGTCAGGCCACCCCTCGTCCCATCCCCCTGGCACAGGGGTGGCGTCACAGACGAAAGGACACACGTGCTCTCACAGGGGAACCTTCCGGGGGCAGAGACGCACATCCCCTTCCCCCCCTGCACAGCTGGCCCCTGTTTCTCCGTGTCCCTTGCGATAAGGCACGGCCACACACCTGGTTTTGGCCAGTGGACTTCAGGCAAAATCAGTGCCTGCCACGGCCAGGCCTAGCCAGTCCTGCAGCCCTCATTCCGGGGCCCCGAGTGACCGTGGTACAGAGCCCCCCTCCCCCAAACCACCTTCACAGGAGCAGGAAATAACCCGTCTTGTGTTCAGTTCTGAAATTCCGGGAATGCCCTTGATAGCAGTCAGCTAACACTAACCCACACCCTATCCTTCAGCTCGTGGCCTGTTTTGGATGGCCGTGCCCAGCATGGAGGTGGCCCTCCCTATGGGGGCTGCTGGACACGCCAGGGTGTCCGCGGAGCGGAGGACAAATTTGTTCAAAAGCACAGCCACGGGGCGGGCCAGGGGACAGCGAGGTTGAGCTGGTGCCACCGGTTCCCTGCTTTTGTCAGTGGACACCTGAGGCCCTGTTCCCATTTCCTCCCTCGAGGTCCAGGTTAGACGTGTCAGTGGCAAGGGGGTCCTCGGGATGCTGCGGCCCCCATCAGGGCACACAGATGTCCTTGTGACCAACCCCCTCCCCCATCAATGCATCCACGGGCCGTGTGGGAGCCGAAGGCTCGGCCGGCGGGGGAGACTTGGCTATTCTTGCCTCCAGCTATGACTGACCGGCCCCCGAGACCACGGCGGGTCCCTCGGGTAGAAAGTACAGAAGTGTCTTCTTCTCCATCATCCAGGAGGGGACAGGCCCTGGGGGTCCTCGCGGGTCGGGGGCTCCGCCTTCAGTGGCTTTCTCCACCTACGGTACCTTTCACAGCCTGTGTACGGATGGGCACAGAGGAGGAAAGATTCGTGTGTCCCTACTAGGACCACTAACCTGAGAAACTCTGAAAGCCAGGACAGCAGAACATTCCAGAAGTGCCAGGATGCACGCACAGCATCACGCGTGCACCTGCGGCGCGTGAGCAGACCAGAGCCCTCGGTACCCATCACAAGGTCGCGCACTCACTATAAGGTTCCCGCCAAGTGCCGGGGAGGTGGGCCAGGGTGCTTCCCAGATGCTGGGAGGTAAGCCGGATGTGCGCTTGTCAAACTGGGCTACATCTGGCCCAGTGCCTGTTTCTGTACATAAGGTTTCACCGGAAGACAGACACGGGGATAGTTTACGCATTGCCTACAGCAGCTTTCGTACCGCAAAGAGTTGAGTATTTGAACCCGAACCTGGCTGGCTGCTTAAAATGGCTACTATCTGGCCTTTACAGAAAAAGTCTGGCGACCCCTGAGTCAGAGCAACTGCTTCCTACCAAGCTGGTCTTTGAGCAGTGCAAAGCACGAGGCCGTAAGTAAGACTGAACCACACAACGGCAAGCCGGCTCCCCTTCCACTTGGCTTTCCATCCTGATGACATTCAAGAGGAAGCTGCTGGTACTACGGCCTCTTTGGAAGGCTGATATTTGCTCTTCGCCTCCCTTAGAAACAAGTCCCAGGCGGCCTTCAGGCTCTGAGGCTGACAATTACACAGCCAGACACCAACAGCTGTGTTTTCTCTGTCTTCTGCGAGTCTCGAGTCTCGCGGTCAGCCTTCCTCGCAGCCACCAATGCCAGCTTTCCAACTGTGACCGCAAATAAAGTCTCCTCTTAGCATAATTTACATTAAAAATGAATCCCTGACAAAAAACACTAGGTGGGCAGATGACGAGTGCTAGTCAGACACGGGGGTCCCCGAGGGCAGAGAGGGCGGAGAGGGCGCACGCACGTGGGGGCCACAGAGCTAAGTCATCAGCACCCTCATTCTGTCGGTGGCCGGGGGTTGGCAGACTGACCTTGAACACGGGATCCTGGGACTCCACCCCCGGGTTGGGGTTCACGTCTTGAGTGTTTCTTTCGTTCAAGTCTGTGCCCGCATCACAGGGACCTCCCAACACTCAGGACACTCAAGGGCAGGAGGGGCTCTGGAAAGCTCGAGCTCCCCGTCTCACGGGGGAGGGGGAACTGAGGTCAGAGGGTGGCTTCTCCCCACGAGTGGAAAGACTGTCCCGCGTCCCTCCTGCGCCCTCACGCGCCTGCAACACAGGCCACACTTCTGACCCCTGAGGGTGGGGGACCCCCCCACCAAGCAATCCTGTGACACCGGCGGGGTGTCTGAAGTTTAACTGACACAGTTTATTCTGACGCGGGCTGCGAAAACAGCAGGTGTCCGTCCCACAGGGAGGGGCTCAGTCCCGCATCGCGGCTCCCACCCAGAGGGCCTGCCACGACCCCCTCGTAGCCCAGAGCAAGTCTACTCGCTAGACTGTCATAATGAGTGTAAGTCAGGAACCCCCGATGGGTAAGATGCGGACATGCCAGGCTCCCTGCCCCTCCCCGGGCCGCCAACAGGAGGCTCTCCACACCCTGTCCCTCGGGGGTTTTTATGGAAGCTGCATTACAGACTTGGTTGATTAAGTCACTGGCCACTGGCAACAGACTTGACCTCCAGCCCCTCCCGTCCCAGGCGTTTGGGGGGCAGGGCTGAAAGTAAGGTCTCCCCTCTCGGAGTCGGTTCCCCTGGCAACCGGCAACCAGTCCCCAGTCCTTAGGGGACTCTCCAAAAGTCACCATTAACATGACAAAAGACAACTCCAGCACTCTCAAGGGGCAGGAAATTCTGAGGGTTTTAGGGGCTTGGTGCTTGGGGATGAACAAGGTTCTGTGGCCGGGGCACCGCGGCCATGGCGTGTGTGGAGGGGCATCGGCTGCGTGGGCCCGCTGCCTTGCTCTGCTCCGTGTCTGCATTTGAAACGCACAGCCCAGCTCCCTGCGTGGGTGCAGGAGACAGGACAGGCTCAGCAGCCCCCGGAAGGAAGGCCACCCGTAGCAACACCCCGCCCAGTGGGGTGAGGCGCTCCCCAACGATGGGGCGCTAAACAGGATCCTCACCGTCGTTTTACCAAAGTATTGCCCGCACTGGGTTGCAATTTTCTCCAAAGGGAAGGAGGAAGTGCTAGTTGATGGCCTTGATTTTGAAACACAGATCTGTAGAACCACTTCTTCCCTTCTCCCAGGGAAAGCACCTTTGGGGAGGGGGCCCGGGAGCTCGTGCACTGCAGGAGCCCTACCCCCCACTAGGGATGCAAAGGCCCCGAATTTGGGGTCACAGTCTCCGTCCCAAGTTCCGGAACTTCCCACCGCCACCGTCATCCCCAGCACAGACACACCGTCTTTCCACCATCCAGCGTCTTAGTCGTAATTGGAAAAGAGTGTGAGCAAAGAAGGGTGTCAGAGGACAAAGGCCATGCCCAAGTCGCCACCCTGCCCCCTTCCATCAGCACAGGCGAGCCGACCCAAGTCCGGCCGGACCCCCCTTCCCTGGAGGATGAGGCTGCCCTTCTGATCTCTGTCTCGTGCCGTCTCATTACCACCTTGACCTTCTTGGACACCGAGTGCAGACCATCCCGTGCTCCCGCTCCAGGACAAGCCCGCCAGACTCACCTGCAAGATCCCGGAGGAGAGGACGCACTGAGCTAAGACCCTCCCCAGCCAGCAGGAGGGGTCTCCACTTACCCGCACCAGCTGCTGTGGGAAGGGCCCGCGGGAATTTTCCGGCACGTTGATGGGTGGGATGACCCAGTCTCGTTTCTGTCTCCTCAGCCCGTTGGCATTCTGGTGCTGGGGCCACGGCAACAGCGTGTCATTCGGAGGCTGAGAGGCGTCCAGACCTGCACTCGGCTTCCCTTTCTGCAGCGTTAGTCGGAGGGGGGAGAGAAGAGTCAAAGAAGTCTGGTTAAGTTCTGCGCAGAGGAAAAGGCATCTGTTCAGAGAATCTGTTCTGTCCTAGATCAACACAGAGAGGCTGGATGATGCTTGGGAAAGTGGCTAAGTGTTAGGGGGAAAAAATCAAGCAACGGAAGAATGGGGAAAAAAATCACAAGGGAAAACACAGTTTATTTATTTATTTATTTATTTATTTATTTATTTAAATATTATTTAATGTGTATTCATTTTAAAAAAAATTTTTTTTCAACGTTTATTTATTTTTGGGACAGAGAGAGACAGAGCATGAACGGGGGAGGGGCAGAGAGAGAGGGAGACACAGAATCAGAAACAGGCTCCAGGCTCTGAGCCATCAGCCCAGAGCCCGACGCGGGGCTCAAACTCACGGACTGCGAGATCGTGACCTGGCTGAAGTCGGACGCTTAACCGACTGCGCCACCCAGGCGCCCCTAATGTGTATTCATTTTTGAGAGAGAGAGAGAGAGAGACAGAGTTGGACCAGGGAAAGGGCAGAGAGAGAGGGAGACCTGGAGTCGGAAGCAGGCTCCAGGCTCCGAGCTGTCAGCACAGAGCCCAGCATGGGGCTCCAATTCACAAACCGTGAGATCGTGACCTGAGTGAAGTTGGACGCTTACCTGACTGAGCCACCCAGGCGTCCTGGAAGACACAGTTTAATTTAAAGTTCTTGTTTACGAAAACACACCCTGAACACAGTTGATAACCCCGGTAAACATGATTTACAACAAATCTGTCAAAGGATGGAGAGTCTCACTATATAAAGAGTTCCTACAAATCAATAAAAAATTTAAATCTTTTTGGTAACAGGAAAGGACAGGAATAAAAAGTCATGGCAACATAAAAAATCAGTAAGCTTATTAAAAATGTTCACACCTTCCGTTAATCAAATGAATGCAAACTGAAGTGACGTACTCTCTTCACCTATCAAACTGACAAGATTAAATGAATGGATCTTCAGTCCTGTGCACTGTGCCGTGTTAGTCGGCTCAAGTGGTGTTTGAGGGTGTTGGAGCCGGCGTTAGGCAGACCCGGTGTCTTGTGTCTATGTGCACCCTAAGTTTCACTGACTCTGGGCGACTCGCTCTGTCCCTCCAAACTCCAGCTGCTTTTATAAAACGGGGCTGGCAATAACAACACTGATTTCAGAGGGTTGCTATGGCAACTAAAGCCATCAGAGCCCCTGCCTATGGGGCAGCCACTGGGACTGGATGGGTGGCTGAGCCCTGACCGGATGCTGCTGGGGGCTAACCACAGCCTTCTGCTGCTTTGGGCCAGTCCATCAACAGCCTCAAAAATGCTCCTTGCTGTCAGCTGTACATCAATTAAAAAAAATTAGGAAAAAACCCCCCAGTAGCTCCACAGCTGGAGATCTGTCCCCAAAACACTACATGCAAACAAACATCTCCATATAAAACGTTCACTGCAGATGTTTTTGTAATAATATTATGGATATTATATATACATCAAGTAATGAAAATAATGGGAAAAAAACCTCTGGAGATCTGATAGCCGCAAATAATAGGCAAAAACATTTTTTTAATGTGTATTTATTTTTGAGAGAGAAAGAGAGAGACAGAGGCAGAGCGCGTGTGGGGGAGGGGCAGAGAGAGGGGGAGAGAGAATCCGAAGCAGGCTCCAGGCTCCGAGCTGTGAGCACGGAGCCCGACACGGGGCTCGAACCCACGAACCGTGAGATCATGACCTGAGCCGGAGTCGGACGCTTAACCGACTGAGCCCCCCAGGCGCCCCTAAATTGTAGTCAAATGCAGAATGCTATGTTTGTATCTTGGGATATTACAGAGTCATTAAAAGCTACCCTTTGGAGATGGGGACACGACGAATATCCATCAAATAATGTAAGTGGGGAATGGCAACAGAGTATACACGTAGCACAAGTCCCTATTTGTGTGTGTGTGTGTGTGCGTGTGTGTGTAAGGACACAGAAAAGACCGGAAGGAAACATCAAAATGTAAACTTTTGTTTTCTCTGCTCACCAGGGAGCTTTCCCCAAGTTTACTTTATTCCTTTTACCTTTCTATATTTCTGAATATTGCAACATGTATGACTTTCTATATTAAAAAGTTTCTATATTAATTTCTAAATTAAAGGAGCCACAGCAGAGCTTCACATACACACGCGGTGTCTGCGGACCCTCACGCGTGCGCCCGGCGTCTGTGCGGAGCTTCGAGAACGCACGGTGTCTCTGGGTGTGCCACCTCCTTGCTCCTTTTCCGGGTGCCCCGGCACTGTTTTCATGGCTGGTGCTCCTTTGACTCTGCTTTGGAGCCAGCTGCACGTCACGGCTCGCAAGGCAAAGACAGACCTGGAACAGGACAGCCCACGGCACCTGGCCACGGTCCACCCGCCTCTAGCCACGGCGGGTCCCACCCTCTGCCAGCAAGATGGGCCTGGGTGGTCTGAGCACTGCCGTCTGTGGACCCAGGACCTTGCCCACTTTTTTTTTTGCAAAATAACTGCATAGAAATAAGTTAAGTACATGTGGACAAAACTGCCTACTTGATGAAAAGGTAAACTCTTCCCGAATCCACGGGCAATGCCACGTGGACAAGCCACAGGGGAAGGAGAGACCCCTCTGGGACGCCCCCCAGGCCCCAGCGGACTCCCGGCCCGAGCTCCTGCAGTCGAGTGTTTGAGGCAACTAAAACCACAAGCCTTTCGTCCACCACTCCCCACCTTCATCGGAGAGGGGCCACGCGAGGTGTGCACTTCCCTGGGGGCCTTGACTTCTGTTCACGTCAAACCAATGGCTGCTGTTGACTCACCTTCCGGCTCTCAGGATGACACAGCGATGGGGCCGCATCCTTACTTTCCTCCGTGAGCTTCACAGAGAACCACAGAACCGCTTTCAGAATGGTCCTGGCCACACACGGTCCCCTCACAGCCCGGGCACAGACAACTGCCTTCCCTGCCCACATGAGTAGCTGACGCCTTGTGGGCCGTGAGCGTCCCTCGCGGTCTCTGCCTGAACTCCCCTCGCCGACTCAGCAGGACGTGTCCTCAAGCCCACTTTCCTAGGGAGGCACAGAGGGGGCTTCAGAGAGGCCGAGTCACTTTAGAAGGTCACACAGCTCAGTGGGCAGGGACAGGATCTGAACCTGGGAGTCAGACCTCAAGACCAGAGCCCCTGGCTGAGTGCCACCCCTCACTCGTGGGTCTCGTTGCCTGGAGGTCACATCCCCTTTACCCGTCCTCAAGTCATGTGTGCGGAGGCCCGGCAGGAGTCAGCGTTCCCAGAGAACTGCCTGCAGTCTGTGTTAAGGAGCCGCCAGGTGACTGATGCGTTCCACAGCCCGGTCTGGGGGCTTCTCAGCTCGCAGCTAAATAGTTCGCCTGTCCCCGGGCACCTGACCCGGGAGGAGGGACAGGGTTAGTGTTTGTTCTTAAGCGTGTCGGCTTGAGGGCAGCCTGCCGGACTTGGGAGCCTTGCGCGAGATGCCAGGGAGCCCCGGCCACAAGCACAGCCCTGGGGAGGGGGTGCTGGCCATCTGTGGCTCCCCCGCTGTCTCCCCCAGTGACGGTGCAGAGAACACAGGTCTGCCCCACCGGCAAGGCTTGGGCGCCAGCAGGCAGAATGCTCACCTGAGTCCTTTGTATTTCAGGCTCAGGGTTTTAAAGAGTTTTCATAAAGCTGCTTTTTTTTTTTTTTTTTTTGAACTGCTTTATCTTCATTTGCTGAGGACGAGCTTGCATGGCGTTAATTTCCCTAGTGTTGTTTAAATAAATTGCACATATTTGCTACTATTTTAAAGCTGTGAGACACATATAATAACAAAATCTGGCAAAAATCGATGCCAGACCCGTGCAGCCTCAGCCTGGAAGACACGCCCACGTCTCCGGGCAGAAACGTTGGTGCAGATGATCGGTTGCCCCCCTGGAACAAGCGTGCCGTTCTGACACGCGGTCACCCTGGGCCCACTCGGAACACGGCGCCTAAACACCGATGCACGATTGCGCTAGTTACAAATAATGCTTCCAGTTACTCTCAAAAATATTTCCTAACGGAGGACACCCGCGGATTTTCCCAACGCGCTCCCGAATTCTGTATTTCTGAGTAAATGATGGCCGGGTGCCGGACAGCGGAACGAACGTGACCTCTGTGCCACCGTTACTAGAAATTATATATGTGCGTGTGCACATACAGGTGTGTATAGGTGCGTGCGTGTGTGTGCGTGTATGTGCAATGCACGCAGGTACGTATGTGTGTGCACAAGTACGTGCATACACGTGTACGTGCGTGTGTGTTTGTATGCTGTGTGCGTGTCTGTAACACTACAATTTTCCCAAAACCGACAGCCCGGCATCATGATAGGCTGGCCACACCCCATCACTGGGTCTTTACAGTCTCATCCAAGCTAGAAGGGTCATTACTGGCAGGGATGGGGGGGGGTCCTCTCTGCTGAACTGACCGTTGGATCAGGCCAAGCTCACACCTGCACATCCGGAGAACAAAGAGCCCTGAGGAAATCACTTGGTCCTGCTGTCCTCTTACCGGATGCCCAAGAAGGTGTGGTTAAGACGTTAACTTCCTAGAGGTGCGGACAGCTTGTGGACACACCCTGCCCGCAGGGGGCCGAGGCATTATTTTGGCCCCACGCTGTGGGTGCTGCCCTGCCCGGGAGGTCGTAGGGCTTCACGGCCACTCACTCGGCACAGAGCAAACTCAGTGGACAGATGTAAACGTGGGGTTCCCCATGCTTCCTGAGCGCCGAGTAAGTGACCCTCAACCTCCACCCTCAAGTGCTCGTGTGGAGTGGCAGGCCAGGAGCCCTGATGACAGTGATGGCTGTCACGGGTCATGGGGGCGCCATGGGCCCAGGTAATCTCCGACTTAGTCCTCAGGACAGCCACACTCTCCATGGGACAGTGATCAGCACGAGCCAGGAACAGGCAGGTTCGAGCTGGCACTGCAATTCAGGCCATCTTGG